GGGCAGGGGCCGGGATGGCGGTGGTTAGGGAGAGGAGGGAGAGGAGGAGGGTGGTGGTGGTGAGTTTGAGTTGCATTTTGCTGGTTTGGTGGGTTGAGTGATGGATGATTTTGGGTGAAGATGTGAATGTGGATCAACGGTAAGTGTTGCTAATTTTTGAAGAGACTCGCTTTGTTTGATGTTGGGTTTGTGATGTTCATGATGAGGTTCAGGAGCATGGAATTGGGGATACCATGGGGCTCTTTATACGATTCTCATCGTTTTTTTTTGTGGCTGACTATCAGCATGTGCAGGGGTCGGCTCGGCCTCGAAGATACCTAGTTAGCGAGCCTATAGAGTTGAGGCTATCGAGACTTGGGGGGTGAGTGGAGGCGGCCCGGGATGACCTCTTGACTTACTGATCACCAATGTTGTTGTGGATGCAACTGTGATGACCCAGGCGCTTACCATGACAGAGAACGTTTATATTGTTTGGTTGGGGTTACTAAGAAGAAATCCTGTCGACGCACACCTTACTCAGCTTCGAGGTTGTATCCCGCGTTGTTCTTAGGCCTTTGGTGTTGAGCCCCCAAAAACAACATGGCTTTAATTGATCAAATATTTTAGATACACCTAGTCAAGAGGTATGTAAAACGTAATGAGCTTAATCACTGCCAACAGTGTACTTCCCATATCGAATGTCGAATGTTGGGGTGCTGACTACCATGCGGCTGACATTCCCTATCTCTAGGCAACATCTTACCGTTTGGGAATTTTCCCCGACCCGTCACACAATACTCACCATTTTGATGCTGCCAGGGCCAGGGGGAAAACTGATCACCCAAGAAATCAAGATGGGCTCTTACTAACGGGATCCAAACTTTGAGATTTTCCAGGTGGCGACAGTAAGGTAGGATTAGCTTTCATTATTACCTAGGTAAGTACCTGCCAAAATACCGACCAAGTAGGTAGCTGCTCTTCCCTCACCCAGGCCGCGCTCCTTCCTGCCTCGACCTACCCTCTTCCCTCTCATTAAAAGAAGTAGGTAACTCCACAAACCCCGAAACACTAGACAACTCAACAGGCAGCACATGTAACGTGCCGTCCACGTTCCCAATAGGTCTTGCTCCTCCTCCTCCCACTCCTCCTCCATCTCTCGGATCCCGCTGCGTCCCTATCTCATACGCATCTCGAACCGTATCCAATTCCGCCACCCTCCCAATCCCCTGTGTCCTCGAACTCGACCTACTACCTCTGCCATGATCAACAAACCCCTTCGTAGCCGTCTCCTTCAACTCCACCATCCCTTTCATCCCTCTTTGTCTTGCCCGGCCCCGTTTCGATCGCCCCCTCTTGTAAAAGAAGAAGAAGCTGCCGCCGGAGAGAAGGAGGACGACGGTGATGGTTATCCCGACGATGGCCCAGACCCAAGGTGCAGTTCTGGTGTTGGTGGCGCTTGTTTGTGTATCAGAACCCGTCGTTGTGGAAGAGCTGGTGATTGATGAACTCGGGGTTGCGAGGGTTTGTGTGGTGTCGAAGGTGGTGAGGGACGTGGAGGTTGATGCTAACGAGAATGAGGATAAGGATGAGGAGGAGGGGAGAGTGGATAAAGACTGGGGCGTGGAAGTTGAAGTTATGGGTGAGGGGGGATTGTGCGTGGGTGGTAATGTTGTCGGCTTCGTTGGTGCAGGTAATGTGGAAGTAATCATCGTTCTCTCCCCTTTATCCATACTTGCACTAGCACTCGTCGATACCATCGTTGGTGCAGCAGAACTGGGGGAAGTGCTGGAAGTCTTCTCTATTGGTATCGCTGTTGCTGTCGTAAACGGATTTTCATCTTGTCCTGCGGCAGTTGGACTTCCTGGCGAAGGAGGCGCACCGGCAGCTTGTAATTTGCAATACCCAACACACTTCATAAACCTCATCGCGAGACTGGCCTTGATCAACTCCGGATTCCTGCTGTTATCTTGGATGCATGACTGGCAGGAGTTGTACTGATCGAGGAAGTTGCTCTCCGTACCGCAGAGGGCGGGAGTTAGTGGGTTTTGTTGACATTCTAGTTGAGCGTTGCCTGTTGACATGACATTTTGTTAGTCTCTGGTCAAGTTGACAGACAGACACTTGTAAGGGTTCATCGTGGTTTGGGATATGTGCAGGTAGGTATTAGGTAGGCAGAATAAAGACTCGGCTTACGGCAGAAGTTGGAGCATTGTTCAGGGACGACGGATGTGGCTCGTTTGAATGGGATGTTGAAAGAGTTTTTGATATCATGTGCTGCTGATAGGATTCGCATCTTGATGATCAATCCGTCCAAGTATCAAGGGATGAATGAGAACTGGGAGCCTTCGACAATACTGAAGATGAGAGAGTGAGTAGCTGGAGACGAGGTTCAGAGAGTTCTTTGATGGTCGAGAACGAAAAGTAGAAAATTGCATGTGCTTGGTTGGGGATACAGAACGATAAGTTCACGATGCACAAACAAACCTGTCAACTTTCTTTTCGAGTTTATCTCGCTCCAGTTTATGTTTCCCCAAACAGTCAGTCCCAAGCACAATATGTCTCTTAGTGCCGCATGACGATAGTACTGGAGACACCAAGCCAGGAAGGAACTGTTCTTCCCTATTCCAAATTACACGCCTCCCACCCACCCAGCGGCCGCCCTCCCTTCTGTACGCGAGCCAAAAGAGGCGTCCACCTGCTTTTTTTGTTTCCATAACTCTTCATGTCCGTCCAGAGTCCTGACATGCAAATATCAATTTCCACAATGCATATTGTATTTGTTTCCAAGGGGGGAACGGCCATCTCCTAGAATCGTGGGGATGTTTGGCAAACTCATGTGTCGGACAGGGGTCTGAGACTCGGTGGTGCAGCACTTGGGGCAAACATTCAGACACCCAGCATCGTCATACGGGCTGTACCGTTCGGTACTCTGATCCTGGTTGGCTACCTATTTGGCTCAGGCCAATAAGGCTGATTGATGGCCAGGGGACACGCAAACATTGGGAGGAGGCGTACCTTGCAGATTGAGATAGCACAATTATAGGTATCGAAGGCGATGACACAATAACTCAGGTCCCCTCGTGCTCTCATATCAGCCCCGAGAGCTGCACCTTGCTCGCCAACCATAACTTCCTCCTCCATGTTATTCTTTATGCCGGCATCTCAAGTGGTACTGACCTCCGTACCTTAGGTACTGATGCTTTAATCGTAACTTGAATGGGATAACCACTTTAGCACCTAGGCAGTCTTTTGGAATTCGAATGTTTCCAGTCGGTAGGTATGAACATGGTCCGAGAAGATGAAGCACGCCCACTCACTTGCCTCCCGTCGTCATCCCAAGTCCCAGTCCCAGTCCCAAGGGGTATATAGATCAGGTTCTTGGCACCCTTTCCCGTGGTCCGCTAGTGTAACTGGTAACACGCTTGGTCTATATGCTCGTTCTAAACAGCTACTCGGGCGAAACCGTGAGGGATCAGGAAACCGCCGGTTCGACTCCGGGGTGGACCACTTTTTTTTTTGCCTCTTTTGCCCCTTTTTTCCCCGCCGAGAGAGACACATTTGGAGTTGTTTCTTTGTTGACTGACTGACTGACATTGTTGATTGACATTGTTGATTGGAGTTTTGCGTGCGCTCGTTGTTTTGGCTTCGTATTTCGATCAGGTCATCCTCTCGCTTCCCAGCTGGCTGCGGTAAGGGTCCATGTCCCCGCTCATTTGGCTTTGACGCAATTATCGATTGGCAGCAAAGTTCGTGTCGTCAAATCGGAAATATTTCCAACAATTTATGTTCGTCCGTCCGTCTAGTGATATTGACGGTATGTTAAACAAACCGCCCCTTCACCATTTCCTGGTCACCCTTTTAGATATGTCCCGCTTCTGCTTCTTGGAAACGTCAAGATCAACGGAATAGTCGCTGCGAAGATAGGTACTGGACCGCGCTCTAACGCAAGGGTTACGGAGACTTCGTTGGCTCCAACCGTGTATGGATTTTCATCGTAGTGGAAGCTGAACGGGGTGTTGGACTCAGCGTGGGTCTGGTGTAAGTCATGATAATGGATACGTGATAGGCCGCCGATGGAGTTTTAGACCGTATCGGTTAAGTGCTCCTTCGTCCAAGGATGCAGCAATTTTTGAATCGCGCTCGACGGAGGTTTCGGCGACCGCCTTAGGCTCGTGCCTCTGAATTTGATAGTTGACGCATTCCAACACTTGTCGACCTAGTGTTTGATAGGGCCCCTCTTTTCAGATAGCGCGGCACCCTTCATAATAACCCTCAATTGCAGAAACAGTGGTTGAGATGCCGTCTTCGTTATGCATGTTGTCAAATACAACCGAAAACGGCGCGAATGATGCATCGTCGACATCCGAAATCGACGACGCAAAAGTCCTGCGTGGGGTATGAGGAAGCGAATCTCCAGCTAATATAAGTTGGGAGTGTGGTTGGAAAATAAAAGTATATAGTTGATTGACTTTTTAGAGAGAGTTTCCGTAAAGGAGGAGTAGGAGAAAGGAACAAGTGGAAGAGATGACAGATGTCGTCCTTTGACGTTGGGGGACGCGTCAACCGTGATATCTCCACTTATATCCCCCACAGCGCATGAGGTTGAAGGGCACTAACAATTAATGCTTGGCCAATGAGACGCGGAGGATTCAGAGCATGGCGAGAGCTTCGCGCTGGCCTTCACGAACTCACGTGCAAGAGGACAGTGTTGACGATGAAGGCATTTCGACACGGCATTGCCGTCCGTGACGAAAGCAACAAACATGTTGGAGTTGGATATGCCTTTGGCTCTGAGCTCCAAGTCAGATACCCAAGCGCCAGTGACTACATCAAGGACACCTCCTAGATGATAGTCAAATGTATCAGACCCTCCTCAATCCTTTCTTCACCAACGCCGCAACTCTTTTTGCACACAGATATGGTATCAGTATTGTATGATATCTTCCCATGTCCCTACGACAGCTCGGCCTTTCTTTTCCACGACATGCAACACACCACGGAAACTTTTTTGTCGACTAGACAACCCAACCAAGAAACCAACAACAACAAAGGCTCGGTGCATCGTCTGAGAATTAGGTACACAGGAAAAGAGACGAAAAAAAAGAGAACCTTCATCATGCCTGCCAACCACACACGCTGAGAGAGATAGTAAGAGTCTAAATCAAGCTAGAAATATCCATGTCAGCCGTAACCACCCGCCTGTCTAAAATTCCCCAAGACCGAGATTCGCTTAAATACCAAGGGTGAACTCAACGCCGACATCAATGTCACGAGCTAGGAAAAACGAGTTAGTAACGGCCATGAGTACAGTCAGGGTGCAAAATAAACTTACCCATCTTGACAACCTTGGAGAGCTGGACAGACTTCTCAGCAGCGTTCTGGAGATCGTCGATGGAGAAGATCTTCATGCCAGAGTCGTTGATGAGCTGGTGGGCAGCCTCCATGTTGGTGCCCTGGAGACGGGCAATGATGGGGATCTTGAGGTCAAGAGACTTGACCGTGTTGATGAGACCGTGGGCGATGGCGTCGCAGCGGACGATACCACCGAAAATGTTGACAAAGATGGCGGTAACCTTGGGGTCGCTGGTGATGAGCTCGAAGGCCTCCCTAATGGCCGCGGGGGTAGCACCGCCACCGACGTCAAGGAAGTTGGCGGGCTGGCCGCCGTTCAGCTTGATAATGTCCATGGTAGCCATGGCGAGACCGGCACCGTTGACGAGGCAGCCAATGTCACCATCGAGCTTGATGAAGTTGAGGCCGGACTGGGCGGCGCGAACCTCATCGGGATCCTCCTGGGTGGTGTCGCGGAGCTTGAAGATGTCGGGTTGCCTGTATTCAGCGTTGTCATCGAAGCCAAACTTGGCGTCCATGCACATGACCTTGTGGTCAGAGGTCTCGGAAAGGGGGTTGATCTCGATCTGGGTGGCATCCTTCTCGCAGAAGATCTTGTAGAGCTTCTGGATGGTGTCCTTGGCCTCCTCGACGCACTGCTCGCTGAAGCCGAGCTGGGTGGCGATGCCGCGGGCCATGTCGTCGGTGACACCAACGTTGATGTCGATGTAGGTGGTGTGGATGGCGTCGGGGCTCTCCTTGGCAACACCCTCAATGTCCATGCCACCCTGGGACGACGAAACAATGACGGGGCCCTGAGAAGCACGGTCCATGAGGACGGCGAGGTAGAACTCGCGGCGGGCGAACTTGCGCTCGCAGATGTAGACGGCGTTGCAGAGACGGCCCTGGGGGCCCGTCTGCTTGGTGATGAGCTTGTGGCCGATCATCTGCTCGGCGAACATCTTGGCCTCGGTGGGGGAGTAGATGACGCGAACACCGCCCTTGAGGCCGTTGTCGAAGACACCCTTTCCACGGCCACCAGCAAGAACCTGGGCCTTGATGACCATGTCCTCGCCGCCAATCTTCTTTGCGATGGCCTCAGCCTCGGCGCCGGACCTGGCAACATCACCCTTGGGGACACCGATGCCATACTGTTTTGTGTGGTGTCGCGTTAGAATCGGTCCCTTCGATAGCGACGGGGCGGGGTAGTAGAGGTAGAGATAAGCTAATTCTATGGACGAGAGCTGGGTGTACTGACCTTCCGGAGGAGATCAGCAGAGAGGTATTCGTGAATGCTGAGGGCTCTCCTTTGTTGTTGGGAAACGCTGGGGAGTCTGGAGGTGAGGGGAGCCTGTGTTTGGAAGATGTTGTCAGCTTGTTGCTTTCAGAGAAGAATGCGATGCGACGGTGCATGAAACCTCAAGGCTGGGGGGGTCGGCGACGAACCTTGGAGGCGGCAGCAAAGGCAGAAGCCAATGCGCGGTTGCGGCCGAGCTTGAACATGATTAGGATGTGGTGGGTGGGATAAGGTAGAGTATGAGGTGGGTGGTGATGATGTTGGGAAAAGGAAGATTTCAGGGACTGTGAAAATGACGATGCGACACTTCCTTGGCCGAGGGGACTGGACAAAGCTCCCCTTCGAGTTCTCGCTGTTGGAGACTTGGAGTGTGGCCCTGATTAGGACTGATTAGGACTGATATTATGGGCCTGATAACCTCGTCGGCCCTACCCCAGCCAATCATTAACAACTTTGCCGTCGTTTTCCATTCATTTGGAGAACAGCAAGCTCCAGCACAGCCAGCACCCAGCAGCTCTTTGCCTGCAGCTCGCGGCAGTTGCACGCGGCTGGTGGCGGGCAACACAAGGTCCGTGCCTCGTGCGCCTATCCTCGGCCAAACCGGCTTCCGGTGGGATGAAAATATGAAAGTTGAATTACAAGATTGAACAAACAAAAACATCACCAATTCCTTCAGCTCCAAGTTACATCGGTCGCGATAAATATTGTAATGTTGACAATGACGTCTGATGGCTCCGCTCAATGACAAGCTCTCCCCGCGCATGTTGCTGTCATTTAGTACCTTGTTGACAGGTCCACTGACTCGAGCAGAGTCCATGACCCCGACCCATCCCGGCTTGACAAATCCAAATCATTATCGCCATGATGTTGAACCGCAACTACGGCAACACAGCACTGGCCGTCATTAATATTCCGAATCATCCCAAATCACCTACAAAACTATCCAATTCTTTCTCTTATTCACGATATTCCAACTAATATGTAACACCTTCAATATCCCAATGGCAACCCCCCCTGGACCCGCGAAAGCTTGTCATGTCCGACCTGACTCGAGCTCTCGGCGCCTTGCGGGGCAAGGGGAATGACGATGTCTCCAAGTCCCCAGAGAAGGCCCCATCCGGGGTCAAGCGGAGCTCAAGACGCACCGAAGGTTCCGCCAAATCTTCCATCACATATTCACATGGCTTTTTTTCCCCATCACAGCTTTCTCCCATGTTGCACGACTCATGCGCCCATTCTTGGCTTTGTGTGGATTGCACCAAACCTTATCTCAACCTGTCGAGATGGAAGCCTTGGGATGCTGGGGTTTGAAGACGAGAAAACCACTTGGATGCTGCCATTGGCCAACACTCCTTTTGAGAGTGCAACCCACCGTTACAACTCTTCCCCCGCATTATGTCAGCTCTTCAAAAAGGAACATCACCATGTCTTTTGACAAGTCTCTCATTTGTCCATTGCCGCGGTTGAGCTTGGTTTCCTTTTGCATGTGGTCACCATCCCTCACCGCTTAATACGACGTGATGTAAGCCATCCTTCATTCTGGAGGCGGTTGGACGCTTCTCTCCTCCATCACGGCTTCATCATCATCAACACCTCAAGACACCCAAGTCACACTATCCTTTTTTGAGTTTCAAGCTTTAGCGCATCTATCAAGGTTTAGGGTGCCCAGCTGGGCTTTTAAACCACCATGTTCCGAGCACTCATATCCCTTGACTCCAACCAAACATGGGCCGTCCTCTTGGGCTTCGTCGTGGTCCTGTTCATGGGCCGAAAAGCCTGGGTTGACTACAAGATTCGCAAAGCCGGGGGTGTCCGGTCTTCTGTCTTGGCTACGAACCCCATCACAGGTAAAGTTACCTGTTTTGAATGATATGACTTG